GGGGCTCGATCCCAGGACCCTGGGATCGTGACCTGAGCCGAAGGCAGACGCTTAACGACTGAGCCACCCAGGCGCCCCTATACCATTCATTTTGTGGAGTTGAAATGTTGATAATTGATAATTGAAATGATTGATTGATAATTGAAATGTTGACAACCAAGGTTGTAGCCTTGGCCTACATGGATGGTTAAATTTTTAAATGAGTGGGGTTATTATTATTTTTTTTTTGATACAGCCCAAATAATGAAGAAATAAGGGGATTTTTGGGAAAATGCTATTTATTTAACTTTCCAAGTAGGTTCAAGATGGTTTGCACTGTAGAATGCCAGACATGTAGAGGTATATAAATGGCAAAGAGAAGATAATACTTATCTTCTAGTATGATGACCTGTGGTCTAATTTTATTGGGATGTTTATTTGCCTAGAACATTTTTTTCTAGGCTCAAACTAATTGCTTTTTGGTTCTGGGCATATGCTGATCTGCATAGGTATTTTTTTTTTTTTTTCCTGCTCAGGCAAGGACTAATGTTGCATGGATATTTTATATTAGTTTCAATTCTGAGGCAAAGGAATAAGACTGAGGCAAAGGAATAAGACTAGCATGTATGTATGGATTTCCTGCACTATAGTAAGATGATGCTGTGTATTTTTATGGAAGAATGAGCTTTGACTGTCATTTTCCATGGGTTCCATAATATATGAATGAAAAATAATTTCATAATACTATGAAATTATTATTAGCCTGGCTAAATAATTCCTTTAGAGTTAGGTGTTAAGTATAATTAAAAATAATTGTGTTATATTACATATGCTTACTAAACTTTAAGACCACTTGTCTTCTCTTTATTGAATGAATTAATGAGACTTATTTCTGCCCTTTTTCCCTTAGTTTTTGTATTTTTTGATCTGACTGTAGATGATCAGTCAGTTTATCCTAAGGAATTAAGAGACCAATACATCATGTCAAAAACTCTCGGAAGGTAAATTTTTTTTTGTTATTATGAAAATTGCCATTCATTTTTTTCTAAACATTTGTCATTGATTAGTTTCTTGTTCCTGGTTTTATAACATTCATTAACTTCATATTTGTACGGAACTTGTTAGGTGTGTTATTGATTTATTTGATAAATTAATTAAAAAAAGTTCTCATACCATACAGTTCACCCATATGAAGTGTTTAATTTAATGATTTTTAATACATTCACAGTTGTGAAACCTTCACCACAATCAATTTTAGAACTTTTTTTTTTTTTTAAAGATTTTTATTTATTTGACAGAGACACAGTGAGAGAGGGAACACAAGCAGGGGGAATGGGAGAGGGAGAAGCAG